AAAATGTCCCAGTCTATCCAGCCTATTTTTATAACTCTAGCCCTCCAACATCCAACCAAATCTTTCCTGGACCCTCTCCAATTTAATATTATCCTTCTTATAGCAGGGCAACCAGAGCTTCTTACGGTACTCCAGAAGAGGCCTCACCAATGTCCTGTACAACCTTAACATGACATATTTCTACTAAGTAATGTTTAGTTGATAAGATTTTAATTTACTTGTTACAGTAAAAGTCTTAAAATGTGAAATCGTGTTGTGTAATCTTTCAAGCCTAGCACTGGGAATTCAAATTTCTTTCTAAAAGTATCAAAGGGTTTAAAAAAACAATTCTGTTTCTGCCTCTTTTAGATCTCTTTCTTAATCACATCTTTCTTTCACTATCTTCAGCTCAATTTCTGTATCTGATGCTAGTTTTGAATGACCTTTTCTTCACTTTGGCATTCAGACTATACATCACTCATTCATGATTCTTCAATCTGCATATTTGCTTTCCCTGTTGACACAGAGTTCTGTACACTTTCACATTCTCTAACTTAAAGTATACTACAATGCAAATGCTATAAAAAGTGAGCGGGCATGCGTGACCACAGTTACTAGTTAGTATCACAGACAATAAAAGTCTTTAAAATATATTATGTGAGTGAGAATCATATTCTACCCATTTCTGGACTGCCTTCTTTGATCATTTTTAGGATATCATTCCAACAGCCATTGTGAAAATTTGGGTAGTCTGTCACAAGACAACTTATAGAAATACATCAAAACATGAACAAAAGAAAGCAGCAAATAATTGCTCATGATCTGACAATGAAGCATAATATGAATCCCATGTCTAACTCCACTCAAATGACATAGCAAATGATGTTTCAATATTTGTTTATTTGCAGATGCCAGTCTTTTATTTCATAACATTAACTCAGTAAATGATGCATTCAAATTGCAGAATATTGGTTGTTTGTAATAAGGACTCGCAAATGAAATTCATTACCATTAAATTAAATATTGTGAAAAAGAGACAAAAACATCTCTGGGTTCTGAAAGTCAGTGGTGACCAGATGCAGTGAGCTTCAACTGCATCTTCAGTGAGGGTCCACCATAATGGCCAGAGATTAGACTGGAACATGGATGTACATGATCCCACACACGAGTCAAAGGTTCCTCAATGGTCTGTTGGGGGCAGTCTCCACAAAAGAATTGTTCCATATCTCCACATCAGGAATTGCCACACTCTGGGCCTTCAGTATGACCTAATGCATATTTTCAGACCCACCTGAACAACAGTGTAAGTTGGGCCCAGATGATGATTCAAGTTGTTATGGACTCTGTCAGATTTCAAAGGTACCTCTTCATTGATATTTTAGGCCAGGGCTGGGTGGCGGTAACAAGGTATGTCTTTCAGCGGTAATGGGCAATCTTGCTTGGTGCAAGTTGAACTTCAGGATTTCCTTGTGCCATGGATCAGGCCAGACCCCCTCAAAATATTTTAAGAAGCTAGCCTAGATCCTAATGTTTTCTTATTTTTAAGGCAAATGTAAAGTGCATGTTCCAGATGCAATGTGACTAGTCAAACTCCTCAACGTTAAGCAAAACACAATTTATTTAAACACTACAGTTAAAATACAACCAAAGAAAGAGGAAGTTAGAATAACTTAGCACTATTGAAAAACTGAACAGAATAATAGGTACACTAATTATCACTGTTCCAATATAGTAACATTCCATAAACACAAACTCTGGCAAAAAGGAAAATTCAAGCAAACAGATTTCATCTCATAAGCAATCCGTAAGCTTAGGAAGAGAACCCCAACTTTTGGCTGTAATTGAGAAAGGGAAAAATAGTTTCCATTTCTTCAAGCCCACAACAGTTTAAAGCTAAACCTAAAAACTATAAAAACTTGAAATCCTGGTCTGTGAGAGCTGACCACATCCATCCAGGATGCTTCTATTGTTCCAACTTTAAAAAAAAAGGCCTCATAAGCTGTTTACTCTAGTGGTTTTGATAGACTGCTTGGCATCTCTGCCTTCAAGCTCTCTTCCAAAAAAAAGGACAAAATAACCTCTTAGAGCCACAGAATCATCACACTTGGCCTTCTACACATAGAATATTTTGGGCCCCTACCAGCATGGCTGTCTCGCATTCCCTCCACGGTTATCTGGAGATGATGAGCTGCATCAGGATCCTACAATCCATCACATAGCTTGGGCCATGACATGGACCACACTACCCATTGGTACTACCAAGGGGGTGGTCAGCTCATTCAGTTCAGCAACTACCTGAGAGTCAAAATTCATCCCTTGGCATCAAATGTCAGCAATGGCATGTAGCAGAATAGATTCACCTTCCCATTCAGCTGTTCAAAGAATAATGCAAAGCTTCAAGATTTATCAGAATGAATGGTGATGCCACTGTGTATTTACATTTTGATGATACATTTTCATGGTTAAGGGAATGGGGTGGTAAAACAGCAACAATGTGTATGATCAGCCATGATTTTATTGAATGGCAGGCCAGGCTCAGCAGGCTGGCTGGATAGCCTACTCCTCTTCTGTCCTGTCATTTCTTTTGGGACTGTGTTTAATTTAGAATGAAATAAGGGGAGTTAATAATTTGCTCTGACCTATGCCTGATAATGCACTTGGCAGAATGGCCATTAAAAACAGAATGGAGGACTGAAGAAGGTTCACTGAACATGAAATGTTGACTTTGCTTTCTCTCCAAAGATGCTGCCAGATCAGCTGAGTTTTTCCTGCAATTTCTAATTTTGCTTCTGATTTCCAGCATCAGCAGTTCTTTGTTTTTCATTTATATAGAGGACTGATTTGTTTTACTGGAAAGGAGTATGGAATTCACATCTAGAAACAATGGCACCAGTATCTGTGTTAAACAGCTGGCCTCCAAAGAACCATATCAGCTTGTAAAGAGTTCTGGTCTAAACTGTCCATTTACTTCCAAACCAAAATAGCATAGAGGTCTAAAGAATAGTCAATCATGGATGCAAGATCCATGTGATATTTGTTGCTGTGGAAATGCATTTTGAGAGCAGAAGGGTTTCAAAGATATCCCTGAAAACTCTCACAGAAATAGACAGACTGCCAAGATCTGGGATAGAGACAGAGAGAGAGAGAGATAGAGAGTAGCTGGAGGCCAGAAATAATGCAAGTAAGAGCTCACAGCCAGGCTGAAAAATCCAAATTCAACAACATTTGAACTGAGACTTGAAGATTCATCTAGCCTGCAACAGAGGGAGAATCATTAGGTAAACTCTCATATGAAAGGCAGTTCTGAGTTTGAAAGATACCAAGATTGTAAAGGAAAACGACAAATATAAACTCTTAGGAACTAAAAATCATTTTGGACTGGTCCCGGGAGAATTGAATGTCTATCTAAGGGACCTAGTGATGTATAATTGTGAAGAAAGATTTTTTGTAGACTTAAAGGTAAAAATGGAAGCTTCATTGTGGCAGTTTAAAATATAGAGATAACAAGGTGTAGAGCTGGATGAACACAGCAGGCCAAGCAGCATCAGAGGAGCAGGAAGGCTGATGTTTCGGGCCTAGACCCTTCTTCAGAAATGGGGGAGGGGAAGGGGGTTCTGAAATAAATAGGGAGGGAGGGGGAGGCGGATAGAGATGGATAGAGGAGAAGATAGGTGGAGAGGAGACAGACAGGTCAAAGAGGCAGAGATGGAGCCAGTAAAGGTGAGTGTAAGTGGGGAGGTAAGGAGGAGATAGGTCAGTCCAGGGAAGACGGACAGGTCAAGGGGGCGGGATGAGGTTAGTAGGTAGGAGATGGGGGTGGGGTTTGAGGTGGGAGGAGGGGATGGGTGGGAGGAAGGACAGGTTAGGGAGGCGGGGACTATCTGGGCTGGTTTTGGGATGCGGTAGTGGGAGGGGAGATTTTGAAGCTTGTGAAGTCCACATTGATACCATTGGGCTGCAGGGTTCCCAAGCAGAATATGAGTTGCTGTTCCTGCAACCTTCGGGTAGCATCGTTGTGGCACTGCAGAAGGCCCAGGATGGACATATCGTCTGTGGAATGGGAGGGGGAGTTGAAATGGTTCGCGACTGGGAGGTGCAGTTGTTTATTGCGAACCGAGCGTAGGTGTTCTGCAAAGCGGTCCCCAAGCCTCCACTTGGTTTCCCCGATGTAGAGGAGGCCACATCTGGAACAGCGGATATAGTATACCACATTAGCAGATGTGCAGGTGAACATCTGTTTGATGTGGAAGGTCTTCTGGGGCCTGGGATGGGGGTGAGGGGGGAGGTGTAGGGGCAGGTGTAGCACTTCCTGCGGTTGCAGGGTAAGGTGCCGGGTGAGGTGGGGCTGGAGGGGAGTGTGGAGCGGACAAGGGAGTCACGGAGAGAGTGGTCCCTGCGGAAAGCAGATAAGGGTGGGGAGGGAAAAATGTCTTTGGTGGTGGGGTCGGATTGCAGATGGCGGAAGTGTCGGAGGATGATGCGTTGGATCCGGAGGTTGGTGGGGTGGTACATGAG